GGAGGGGTCTTATCCCTACAAAGATCTCCAGAGCTCTCCCAAGTCTAGACCCTAGCTGAATCCCAGCCACAAGACTAAAGGCAATCCATTCTCTTTCTGCAAAAGTCATTCGATTCTCTGTAGAATTGAAAAAGATAGTCACTTCCATTGTCTTGATTCTAAAGTCAAGATAGAATGGAGCCTAAAAGTGAGGTAGACTAACTCATGCAATAGCTAACTTTATTCAGATATCAAATAATTTATACTCAGGGGGTTAAGCAAGTCATACAGGCAAAGTTCACATGACATCAAACTGTATACAAACTTAAGGATAGCCATACTTGGAAACATTTTTTTCCCCCAGTACCGCTTGCTCTGGCCCAAAGATTTTTTATTTATTATATATAAGTACATTGTAGCTGTCTTCAGACACCCCATAAGAGGGCATCAAATCTCATTACAGATGATTGTGAGCTACCATGTGGTTGCAGGGATTTGAACTCATGACCTCGGGAAGAGCAGTCAGTGCTCTTAACTGCTGAGCCATCTCACCAGCCCTTGGAAATATTTCTTTTTCTTTTCTTTTCTTTTCTTTTTTTTCTTTTTGGTTTTTCGAGACAGGGTTTCTCTGTATAGCCCGGGCTGTCCTGGAACCTACTCTGTAGACCAGGCTGGCCTCGAACTCAGAAATTTACCTGCCTCTGCCTCCCAAGTGCGGGGATTAAAGGCGTGCGCCAACACCACCCCGCCAGAAATATTTCTTAATAACACAAGTAAGATAATTGGTGCACAAAAGCCCATTCCTCAAGAACAAACCCATCTTTAGAAAAAAGAGATGTCACAAGACTCTTGTCTTGTTATCTTGGAGTTTTCTCACAAGCTTTCAGAATTCTCAGCTCCTTTCTTGGTCCGTATTCTGACACCTTTCAGAGAAGCCTTCCCTCCGCTCTCCACGATTCCACGGTCCCTGCAGGTGAGTCCAGTGTCTCCCACACTTTTCTCAAAGTTTAGTTGAGTCACAGCCGACTCAGTAGCTTGTCAAGCCTGACTCTTCTTCACGATATTTTCTTCAGAGGAAGCTAAAGCACTCGCAACTATGTACAGCTAGATAGGGTTCTGGCAGCCAACCCAGGAAAACATCCCCTGTGTCTCCTCTAAGAAGCAGCTGTGGTGCGATCAGTGTAACTTAGAGCTTGGATGACTGAATTTTTCAGTTTTAGGGAAACTGAATGGTACAGTCTACTCAAGTCACTGTGGGTTTTCTCTGTTTGTGAATGAAAATGAGGGCACAACTGTTTCTAGGTATGGTTGAAGAGAACGTTTTATTGTAGATACGAGGGAGAGAACAGCCAGACTAGCCCTGAGAGGAAGAGGAGGAGGAAGAGGAGCAGGAGCAGGAGCAGGAGCAGGAGCAGGAGCAGGAGCAGGAGCAGGAGCAGGAGCAGGAGCAGGAGCAGGAGAAAGGGGCTTGGGGTGGCAATGGGAAGGGAAGCTGAAAGGTTTGAGGGTAGAGGGCGGAGTGAGAAGTGCTGGGTGGAGCCACTGGTACCAAGGGATTCTGGGAGAGCTGGCCAGCGTCTACTTTGATATGCTAATAGACACCTCAGGCATTTGTTGCGGGTGGAGGTGGGTTTATTTGAGACTTTATAGTTTGTGTGGTTGGTTGCTGTTTGTTTTTTGTTTGAGACAGGGTCTCACCACGTAACTCTGGTTGGCCTGGAACTTGCTTCGTAGACCAGTCTGACACTCTGAAGTACTGGAATTACATGCTTGCAACATCATGCCAGGCTCTCTATGGGTTTGGTTTGGTTTTGTTTTGTTTTAATTAATGGATTTAGAATGTCCTCAGAACTGCTGGGTGCTTGAAGGGACGCTCACTTTCTTGAGGCTTATTATATATGGCTAAATCTAGAAGGTCATTAACATACATTACCTTCCTTTTTTTTTTTTTTTTTTTGGTTTTTCGAGGCAGGGTTTCTCTGTGGAGCCCTTGCTGTCCTGGAACTCACTCTGTAGACAAGGCTGGCCTCGAACTCAGAAATCCGCCTGCCTCTGCCTCCCAAGTGCTGGGATTAAAGGCGTGCACCACCACTGCCCAGTGTACATTACCTTCAAGTTAAGAGAAACACACTTAACTTCTGAACAAAAGCCACTAAATGATTTTTGTCGATTTTTAAAAAATTGTGTGTGTCTATGCCTCTATGTGTGTGTGTCTGTTATGTACATGTGAGTGGTGACTGTACCCTTAGATACTGGAAGAAGGTGTCAGATTCCCTGGAGCTGGAGTTGCAGACAATTGGAACTGGATAAGTAAACGTGGCCTATGCACACAGAATTTTACTCTCTCATGAAAAGGAGCCAAGTACCAACATAAGCCACAACATGGCTGTTCCTTGAAAACATGTGTAAAGAATAAAAACCACCAGACATGAAATCTCACATAGCCCATGGATCTGTTTCTATGAAATATTCAGAATAAGTGAGTCAGGAGAGGAAGAGAAGAGGAGCTGGGGAGAAGAGAATGGAGAACGGTTGGTGAGTTTTGGATTTCTTATTGGGTGGTGGAAATATTTTGAATTAGTGATAAAGAATTTGTGGCCCTATGGATGGATGTTTTAAAACCCATTGAAAACTAAATAAGCAAAATGTGTTGCTAAAGAACACATAGATGCTCTGTAAACACTAATTTTGATCGTTGTTGAGCAGTTTATTGGTTGATCTGGGGGTGATGGCACACATTTGTGACTCAAGCACCCTGGAGGCTGAGGCAGGAAGGTCATGAGTTCCAAGCCAGCAAGCCAAACAAACATGGTGGCCCACTCCTATAATCCCAGCACTCAGGAGGTAGATGCAGGAGGATCAAGAATTCAAAATCATCTTTGACTACACAATGAGTCAAGGACCAATCTGGACTGTACGAGGCATTATCAAAGCAAATAATACAGCCAGAGTTCAGTGTGAACCTGGGCTGCACAGTTAATTTCTAGGCCAGCCTGGGCCATGCAGTGAGGCCAGCCTGGACCACACACTGAGAGCTGTCTCTAAAAACAAACAACAAAAAGGCAAACTGGCTGATAGGCAAGAATGGGAGAAAGAGAAGAAAGTGTTTTAGAAGGCAGAGGCAAAGGACAACAAACCATTGCTTTCCAGGCTACCAGAGCCCTCAGCTTGCCCACTTGCCAAACTGTTATCCGTCGGACTCATATGGTTCTTATAGCGGAAGGAGGAGGTGCTGCCACAGAGCTTTACAACAGGGAGAGTCCTAGGGCATCTTCAGAGCTGTAGAGCTTGAACAGATGCAAGGACCAAGCTGTGGTTTACCAGAATCCACTATGAACAGAGCCATAGAGTCCAAATTAGACTTCCATTAGTCTGTGTGGAGGTAGAATAGATCAGAAGAATGACCACTGGATTCAGAGTCAGCCCCAGCTCCACAGGAGTAGTTGTATACAGCAACTCACTAATCTCCCTAAACTTCTGAGAGGTGGGGCTTTGGTTGTGCTCTGGTTACCTCTCAGGGTTGTGTGAAGACTAATTGTGACACGAAAACAACTTAAAAAGTATAGACTGTGCCATAAGAGCTGGTGATGCAGTGCAGTATCCCATGATGCAGTGCAGTATCCCATGCAATACATATGAGCTGCAGAAAAATAAACTCAAGTGTAAGGGTCCGAAAGTTGCTGAAGAAAGACCCTAGACTCAGAGAGTATGCAAAAACAGCACGTTAATTCTGCAGAAACTAGCAGCATGCAGGTGGGGCTGTCAACTGTTCTTTGAAATGGTGACCCCAGATAAAGGCATGCAGGCCTTCTTATAGGGAACTGGAGGAACTCTCTAGGAGAATTAGGCAATCTAAAATTTCATTGGTGGGTGTTAGGGGGTCATAGGTGGTCAATGGTCTTCATTCCTATGTCACAAATGTTTAACCATATGATGAAATAGGGCTGTCCTGATGGTCCATTCTGATATTTCCCAACTTTTGTGGTCATCCCCTGGGCTGTCTTTTGGGAGAAGATTGTTCTGGATTTTATGGTCTCTTCCTAGGGCTGATGTCTTATGACCTAGTTTCTGGGACTTACGGTCTATTTCTGAAGCTGGTGCCTTATGGCCTTTTTTGAAATCAGGCCTGGTCCTCAAAATGGAGACAAATGGGGTCCTTACATAGAGACAAATGGGGTTTATGTTGCCCTTTCACATTCAGCAGGCTTCCTGGTGGAGAAGATGATTTCAATGACCCTTAAGGGCCAAGCATCATCTATGTTGGTTTGTAGGAGAGATGGAAAGGCATGGCAGACAGAGGTATGAGTAGATACATGGAGAAATCACACAGTGGGGTGTAGACCCCGAAAGAATTCAATCCTGAGGACTGAGGAAGCTACGGTAAGGTCTGTGGTTACTGTCAGGTCCTAGGAACCTGGACAAGTTGTGTGACTCCAAAAACTTCCAAGGCTGGAATTGTCACCTCCTGATTACAGTAGAGATGACACCAGTAATTAATAAAAGTCAAATGTCAAAAAGTGAAGGGGTCTCAATTAATATGTCAAATGACTGCATTCCCTTTGTATAGCAAACATTCTAGGTAGAAAGAGCATAGGATCATGGAGACAGGGAGAAGGCTGTGAAGTGTTGTCTGTGGCCATGACACAGCCACCACTATCATGATTTCACAGAGGTCTGCACAAGACTGGGCCTGGTCAACAGTCAGTCACAGATTAGGGAAGGGCTCACGGAGCCCTGCTCCTCCCTGCTGAACAATGGGCTACTTACGGATTCTGAATGAAGGGCAGGCATGGCCTCCAGTCATGCACCCACTATGCTATGCTGTGCAGTTCCAGGATTACACAGACAGCCGTGTTTAAAGTCAGTGGTCACAAAAGAAAGCTAAAGACACGGATGTGGGAGGATGAGTGGTAATAGTCAGGATCTGAGGGAAGTAAGAAAGAATGAGGTGATTAATGTGAATGAAGTGTGTGTGTGTGTGTGATTACCCAAAGCACAAAAGAATGAAACAGTTTAAAACATTTCTAAAAGTAAAAGGTGAATAACTTTATTGGATAATGGATTAAGGGGTGTGGAGAGACGGCTTGGTGGTTAATAGCACCTGCTGCTTATTAAAGCGCATTCATTATAGAGTCACCCATGGTGATTCTTTTTGTAGTGATAACAGCTAAGTCCTAGGAAATCATAGCCTTCCAGAGCTGGGTCCACTTCCTCTGGAGCAGCTGGGTGGTCCTGGGTGGAGCTCAGGTGGCTATAGGTTTGTTTGTTTATTTCACTCTGGGATGTGTGCCCCATCCCCTTCCCTCATGGAGGTTTTAGCCTCTGAGAATTCCCGCTGCTGCTTTTGGGATTGTAGCTCAGAACAGGAGAGCTCCCCCTACAAGGACAGGACCACTTCCTCTTGATTGGATGGCCCAGTGACCAAACTTGTTCCCAAAATTCAAGAAATGGACATATTACTGCAAGACTCCTGTTAACTGAAAAAAAAAAAATCCATTAACAAAGGCCTAGTGTGTTGTCATTGGATATCTAAGGCTCCTTAGTTTTGTGCCAAAGGCACAAAAATAATTTTTTAAAAAAAGCTTCTAAAAATAAATAAAAGGTGAATAACTTTATTGAAAAATGGATTGAGGGGTGTGGAGTATGGTTTGGTGGTTAATAGCACTGGCTGCTTATTAAAGAAAATACTTTGAGATGTGGTGTTTTAATAAAGTAGAATAAGGTAAAAAGACCAGTTGTTAGATACTGATATATTGGTTTATTTAGTAATTCCCTTAAAGCATTGCTTGTATCGTACAAGCATGACTTCACTACTTGGAACAGAACAACTTGGAGACAGAGCTGAAATAGTAGGTCACTTAACCTGCTGACTGCCAGGTACCTTTCTGTAAAATCTCTCTTTCTTGCCCACCTCACTTTATGGATTTAGAGTATAACCTGGGAAAGCAACGTGGACCCAGGGGCAAAGCCTTACAGGGGCTCTCTTGCCTTGAGTCCACTAGTGACATCTCCTCTCCTACTCTCACTGGTGTCTGGTTGCCTAGTCAGGAAGATTCCTGCAACACTTCCTTTGGTTTTGTTTTGGTAGGTGTTGACTGACTGGGCAGCTCACACACAGTAGGGCTGTCACCTCCCAGCTGCTTTTACTTGCTGTTAGGTAGCTATGACAACCAGACAAAGAAGGCTAGCTTCCAAACTCAGCACCTGAACTGGTTCCAACAGGCCCTGACATTAAAGACCACCTTCACCACCAGGACAAACACCTTTAAAGCCAGCAGTCTGTAAAAAGGCAAGCAGTGCTTCATGAGCTTGAGGGCTCAGTATTGGCCACACACAGAATTCCAGGACAGCCAAGGCTATCCCAAGACCCTGTCTCAAAATGTAAAAATAAAATAAAAAATAAAATAAGCAAACAAACACAGAAGAATTGATTAAAATAGTAAACACCTAACCCCAAGGAAAACACTATCCAAATAGTGATGCAAAACCCCGACTGAGGTCCAGGAGGGCCTATCATTAGCTGGAATCATAGACATAAGTAGAGGAAGGAAGCACCAAATTGGTGTGGGAAGCATTGGCAGGTAGATTAATCTAAGATAAGAGCAATCAAAACACTTGAATGAAAAATAGCCCTTGACTTAAGATTCTATTTGCTTAAATAAATGCTCCTGCTCTGATGCAAATAAAGGCAGGCAAGATTTGCATTTGATCTAGACAGTGGTGGAGTGCTGTGGACCGTTGCTATGGAGATCCCAGAGACCAGCCAGCTACATAGAACACTTTACTGGAGCTCAATCTGGAAATGATGGTAGAGGGTCATTATTGGCAGGCACAGTGATACTGAAACCATGACCTTTGAGTCAGCACCAGCAGTTTCACCAAGGAGATTCCTAGAAATGCTACTGGACGTGTTAAAATGTTTTTATGCCCATAAAATAGATGTAACATAAAGTTTAACACTTTCAAGTTTACACTTCAGCGGTATTAAATATATTTAGTTTGTGTGTATATGTGTGTGTGTTCAAAATCTTCTCCTCTTGAGAACATTTTCATTTCCAAAACTGAAGTCCTGACCCCTAAACAGACCTGGAAACAAGTCCTGGGGGTGAGTCACAGGCAAGTTCCAGGCTAGGAGACTTCTGAGCATGATTAACACAACCAAGGCTCACTGTACTGCATAGCTTACCTAATTACTTCATGCCTTAACTCCTCCAAGCTTGCCAGGAATTGAGGAAGTGGCTCCACTCACACACCCCAGGATCTAGTCAAGGGAATGGTCAGGCATTTTACTCAAGATTGCACAGATGCAAAGACACTATTTGAGCTACCGTCTGGGTGAAAGGTTCTCACCCACGGGCCTGTTGCATTTGAGGGCGTGCCTTGAAGAAGAGCAACTCTTGGGTAAAATGAAACATCTCTTTCTCTCCTTAACTTCCCAAGGCCTATGTAGCTGGTAGAGACTTGGCGAATCTGGACTTTCAGTGTGTTTATCTTTCCAGAAATTCTATTCACTTGCACAAGGTTTTTGTATAGTCCAGCTCAACATATTTCTCATTTAAAACACTCTGTAGCAGGGCTGGAGCATTGACTGTTCTTCCAGAGGTCCTGAGTTCAATTCCCGGCATCCACATGGTGGCTGACAACCATCTGTAATGGGATCTGAAGCCCTCTTCTGGTGTGTCTGTAGACAACAACAATGAGGTCACATATGTAAATAATTAAACAAATCTTAAACAATAACAACAACAACAAAAATACAATTCTGTAGCAGACAGAGTGACCAAAGAGGAAGCTGAAGCTGCAAAACTCTGGGCAGGGTATAGGCACATAGGGGTGTGGGGGTGTAGGGGTATGGGGGTGTAGGGGTATGGGGGTGTAGGGGTGTGGGGGTGTCAGGGCATGGAGACGTAGGGGCATAGGGGTGAGTGAGTGTAAGGATGTGGGGATGAAGGGGTGTAGGCATGTAGGGGTATAGAGGTGTAGGGGTATAGGGGTGAAGGGGTATAGGGGTGAAGGGGTGTAAGGTGGTACAGTGTAGGGGTGTAGGCATGTAGGTGTGTAGGGGTGACAGGTATAGGGATGTAGGGGTTTAGGAGTGAAGGGGTGTAGGGGTATAGGCGTGTAGGGTTGTAAGGTGTAGGGGTGTAGGCATGTTGGGCTGTAGTGGTGTAGGGGTTTAGTGTTGAAAGGATGTAGGGGTGAAGGGGTTAGGGGTTTAGGGGTGAAGGGCTATAGGGGTGAAGGGGAATAGTGGTGAAGGAGTGAAAGTATATAGGTGTATAGGGTTGAAGGGGTGTAGAAATGAAGGGATGTAGGGGTGTAGGGTGTGTCCAGAATCTCTGATTGTTCCAAGGCTCCCAGGTTCAAGAGCTCTGCATGACTCAAGTGTACAAATTCCAGAAGCCCCATCCTGGAGTGTGCCCCAGATGCTCTGGCTAGGGTCTACCTCAGTTACAGTGGAAACTAAGTGCTTTTCAAAACCCAAAGCCTTGTATAATCAGAAGGGATACATCCCACAGATGGTACAGAAACACACTGGAAAATTCTACTGGAGATATCTGAAATGAGTTGACTCTTGAACTAGCAACTGACAGTGCCTGACTCTCCAGAACACCTGGAAAGCACATCTAGACACAGAAAACTGCTCATTATGAGAAGGATTTAAGTGTGCTAGAATGAGTTAGTTAGATGTTTGTGTGTGTGTGTGTGTGTGCCGTGCTTGATTTTTTGTAGTTGGAAGGTGAAGGATCAGCTTAGTCTAAACATATATGTTCACATTTAAAAATAAAAAGAATGAATTTAACCAAGCCGAATCTTAATGCTTTGTAATCATATCAACCGAAGAGCAATTACATAATCGACTATATTGTCTAATGGGTAGAACCAGCATTTGTGACATCACTTACAATTCCTGTGCCCAGGACACATTTGAAGAGATTCTGAGCTACCCAGGCTAGATAACACTCAAGCCGTGGTATTTTTAAATGTACTCTGTGATTGAGAACCACTGCATCAGACAAAAATAGGCAATAAAGTTGCATTATTTGATCTGTCCCCTAGAACTTCTCTAGTTAATATGTTTCCCTTCACTGGCTGCTTCTGATTGGCTAAAGCTCTGGTTTTCTTTAGGATAAAGAAAAAAAAGTTTTTTTCTTTAGATAAAACCTTTAGATAAAGGTTTTCTTTTAGGTTTCTTTAGATGTAAGAGGAAAGTCATTTTACTTATGTCTGCAAAGCTAAACTTTAAGGTCACTCACGGGCTATAGCCAGCTCTGCTTAGGGATCGTTCCCTGAATCTTATTTGCATATTAATTTACTTTAACAACCCTCATGACTTCCCTGGAAAATAGTTTATTATAGCATCTTAATAGGTGAGGGAACTTATGCTTAATGAGATTAGGTGCTTTTGTAAGGGTCCACGATTCGCTGAAGAATGATACCCCAGATTCAAATAGCAAAGAGTGTTTTATTCTGTAGAAGTCCATCATGCTGGGGTCTCCCATTACCAGAATAGAGAGACATCCAAGTGAGCTTGCAGGCCTGATTTAAAGTACATTAGGGAATTCCAGGTAGATGACCTTTATGTTAATCTTTTGGGTCCACTCTACAGACATTCCATTACCAGGGTGTGGGGGCTGGAAACTTGCTGAGGAAGTAGCTGTGGAAGTCTGGAAACTGCTGCTGACCCATTGTCCTTGCCTCAGGCCAGGTGGTGGGGCAGCTTCTGAGGCCTGGACTTGCCTGGAATTGCCCAGTTCTTGGAAACAAAGATTTAGGTCTAGTCTCTTTAACTGCCAATTTGAAGCCTGTCATGGAGTCTGCCTGGCCTACTCTTTTTCTATTGAAATCCAACCAAACTGAACAAGAACAACAACAACAAAAAAAAAGGTCTCTGTTCAACTCTTGACCACTCAGAGGCTTAGTGACTATGCTGGACCCCACTTGGTCGCACTGTGTCCTGAGGAAGCTTGTGCCCCTGTTTGGTTTAGCAAGTGTGCTGTATTCTTTTATCATTCTACACTGAAATCTCATTTTCATATTTTATTTTAATTTTTAAGACCGGGTCTCACTCTGAAGTGCAGGTTACCCTAAAACTAATTATGAGCCCAGGCTGACCTCAAGCTCATGACTCTCCTGCCTTCTTCTCCCAAGCATTGGGATTCCTCTTCACACACCACCACACCTGGCCCCAAAGAGTAATTTTTAAGAAGTGTTTATTATAGAAAAATTCAAATGCAAAGATCCCTCACATAGCTCCTGTGATGATCCAGTCAGGGTGAGCCCAGCTTTGTTCCCATCCCCATCTATCAGTCTCTATTTTGGAATGAAACCTAGCACGTGTATACGGATAGTGTATATCCACGGATAGTGTATTTCAGTGTGTATACGGATAGTGACTTAAAAATGACCCAGAATCTCACCATGTCTGGAAAACGAAAATGCCTTCACAGGATCACACATTCTCTCAGGCACACGGATCTGGTTACTTAAGAAGGGAAGGGCCATTCTTTGAGGATCAAATTAAGTTCTGTTTGCAACTGTTACGTCCTGTGACAACTTGTGACAGGGTCAGCTGCAGACCAGCTGGCCTCCATCTCACGGAGGTCTGCCTGCTCATCTCTCCTGGAACTGAAGGTGTACTATACTCTAATGGCCACTTCTTAAACATTTGTACATCTGTGGTTTTCTCCCTACTCTCTTGATATTCCTCTCCTTGTAGTTTATTTGCTGAAAAAGCCTGTCTCAGCATTCTCACAGAATGCATGTCTTCAGAAATTATAGTTTTCCCAAAATTTCACCTTAATCTTCACTAGCGTGCCATTTATATAAAAAGTGAAAGTCCCATCCACCTCAGTCCCAATGCCAAGCCAATAGTCAGTAACAGACCATTCTTTTTCATGGCTGCATAGCATTCGATAGAGTGGGGAGAGAGTAATGTTTATTCCTATGCTTCAGATAAAACTAGAGAACATTTTGGGTGGGGGTGGGGAGTCATGGACTCATGGACCCTGTTTCTGCCTGTTTCATTAAGTCACACATTCAGAAAGTTCTCCTTCATTCACAAATAAAATGAGAGAGGACAATTTGGCATATGTCAACGAAACATACAGTAAATTACAAATGGAACACTATTCATTCACCTCTAGCAAAATTTTGAAATGACACTGCTTAAGCTGTGTATTTATGGTAAAATTCACTTGAGAGGTAGAGACCAGAGGATTGGGAATTCAAGGCCATCCTTAGTCTTATACTGAGTCCAAAGGCAGCCCTAGCTTAGGTAAGAGATGTGTGCTGGGCAGTGGTGGCTCATGCCTTTAATCCCAGCACTTGGGAGGCAGAGGCAGGCAGATTTCTGAGTTCCAGAGTTCAAGGCTAGCCTGGTCTACAGAGTGAGTTCCAGGACAGCCAGGGCTACACAAAGAAACCCTGTCTTAAAAAAAAAGAAAGAAAAAAAGAAAAGCCAGATTGAATGTCACCGTTTTAAATATCTCCTGCAACAGATGCTCACAATTCTCTTATCCACCTTCACAACCAGGAGATTCTTCTCAATTGTATATGTCATCTGATGGGCCTAATATGCATTGTTATCCTAGATTTGAGGTGACAAATCTGTTGCAAACTCATGATCAGTGATCCTGTGGCTGGATCTTGAATTCACAGGAGTCTTCCATGGATGTGTGGCAGTATAAGACAATTAGAAGGCCTAACACATGTACCTGTCACTACAGGTTTGCAGAATTTTCTCTTTGATTGAGAGTGATCCAGGACACTTGGTTGGAAAAACAAAAGTCATGTAGTATGGGCAGGAAAGATGTGTTCTCCATTAAGAAAATTTGTTGCAGTCTCAGAGGATACACATGACAGCTACAAACCCCTTTAACTCAAATTCTGGAGAATCTCATGCCTGCTTCTGGCCTCTGTGGGAATTGTATGCATATGGTGCAAAGACGTTCAGCAAGCTGAACACCCATGTCTTATTAATTTTTCTTTTAAAATAAATGTTATCATTTTAATTGTTATGTTCCATATAAGTGTTAATTGTTATCTACCTTGCCAGTATAGATTTTATCATGTGCACTGCTCCTCAGGGAACTCTGTTCTCTTGCACACTTATTTAAAAACATATTGATAGGTATGATAATTTGTAGAGTTTTTCTTTAATGTGAACAAAGTCCTGGTCTGATTCACAAGTACTGTACAATTAGACTTAGTGCCCATTCTTATAACCCCAGCAACCAGGAGTTGGAGCAGAAAGAAAAACATTTAAGCATGTCTTCAGGCAGGATTCAATGAGTTTAAGAGCATCCTAGACCACAGTATATCAAAAATTGCATGTAGTGAGAACAGCACATAGGCCTTTCGGGACTTCAAATGCTAACAATTTTTTTTTTGGTGGGGGGGGGCTAAGCTCACATTGAATATTGTATAATGATTGTAGTTTTCAAATATCCTAAACTTTGTGGTTTTAGCATAAAATTTCTATACTTCTCCTGAGGTAAAACAAATTGGCCCTTCTCTGTAAACTTCCAACTTACAAAACAGAACACCTCATGCCAGTTTCAGTGGAAATTAGATAAACACAGAATATAGTGAAGTTCCTGATGTTGTAGGAACTTTTATTTGTGTGTGTG